CCGAAAATGAATGAACGATCATTCATATATTGGCAAAAGTTTTAATTGAAACTTCAGAAATTAGTATTTTCATTTGTTGACAACAAATCAAAGTATTTAAATAAAAATGAGAAAAATGAATCCAAATAAAGCAGCGTCGTCGTCGTCATATTCTCGTTCTTCTTCTTCTTCTTCTTCTTCGTATTGTCGCTGCGTGACTGTACAGATATGAGAAGAATGACAATCTCAAAATCAATTTACAATAGACATTTAGTAGAGTAAAGAATAGATATGAGGAAAACATGCAGCATGTGTTTTAAAAAAAAAAAACGTTTAATTCTCTCCTTCTTCCAAAATGTGTACATTAATACATCTTTTTGAGAAGAAAATGGATCATGGAGGAGATGGTACATTAGTAAGGAAGAATCTATTGATGTTAAATCTGTTTTTAATTAGTTGTTAATTTGTATTATGTGAACAGTAATGCTGACTCTCTACGGGTAAACATGCATTGTGCGAGTTGTAAACTTAAAAGCATTCTAAATAATTAATTTGTGAATTTGGCCCTTTACTATGATTATGTTTATAAATAAATTCAAAATTCAAAATACATAAAACTTTGGTATGGTGTGCCAGGCCAAAATTTTCAAGTTGCGAAATTCAAAATATGGGTAGAGGAGTGGTGGATAGTATAAATAATGTGCGTACCTTTGAAGAGCAGCAAGTGTGGTTTCGGAGAAGTTGGAGCAATCCTCAACGATAAGATATTTCAGCTTTGGAAGCATGTTGTTGTTGATGAAGCCTTCCTCTTCGATTTCAAGTTCGTTGCAATTATAAAGTCCCTTTAGTTGAAAGCACTCTTTAATGGTCAGATCTTGCAGCTGTGGAAGATGGCGAGTAGAGGGAAAAGAGGGAAAGAGCCATTTCAACTTTCTGCATCTATTGACTGTAAGATGTTGAAGCTTTGGGAAGCAAAAGGAATTAGAGGATGCATTTGGAAAGCGATAATGCTCTTCTTCTGATGACATTATTTCCTCCATCTCTTCACATTCTTCAATGCTTAGAAACCACAAACAAGGTAGGCTTCTAATCACAGTGCTTGGGAACATACACTTCAATTTTCTATATTTACTCACAAATAAACTCCTGAGATTTTGGAAGACCATGAAACTGGGACTCTCCCATACAGATACGAGGTTCATTGAATCCTCCAAATACAAGAACTCTACTCTTGAGATCACCACCGTCCCTTTTTCTTCATTTAATTGCAATTCTTTTTCTCCATTTGAAAAAGTTTGAACATTCGAATCTTCCGTTGAAACCTGTGGCAATTGTAATCCCATTTTTTTTTGAAAGGACAAATTTATTCACATCAATCAAATTTAGAGTATTCAAAGTTTCTTTTTTAAAACTTGGATTTAAAAAAATTAGATACATTGTAAGCATACCAAGCAAACTCCTTGCTCTTTACTGATGTACAAATGTTTATATATCATCAGTGTATGGCTACAGGCGGAAAAAAAAAATCAATTTATAATTGATTGAGTTTAATTTCCTATAAAATACTCCTCCGGTCCTTAATATAAGATCCATTTAACTAATCTGAAGAAGGTTAGGTAAGTTAGTTAATTATAAGAAATGTGATATGTTTTTTCTAAAACACCATAATCATCTTTCTTAATACCCCATCTCTCTCTTTTGCTTAATTATGGTTGAGGGAATATCCATAGAGGTAATTTAGAAAAAATTGATAAATATAAGAAAGGGATCTTAGATTTAGGACTAAAACTAATTCAACAATTGGGTCCTATATTAAGGACCGGAGGAGTATATTTTTTATTAAAATAGTTTGTGAATCAACACGCACACAATTATTCTTTCGCTGCCATTTTTTTGGGTGAAATTTCCCAGTCACAATTTTGATATGAAAAATTTTAAAAGAATACATTTAATAAATATTAAAAAAAAACGTGAAATGAAGTCTCACAACACATATATATTCCATTATTTTTTCGTCCATTGTGATGTAAAATTGAAAGAAATTCTATTTGTGACCATGCATCAAGTTTTTTTTTTCTTCTTCACGTCCTTGAAAATCTCCTTGTAATTTATAAATTCCCTATATAATTTATACGGCTACCAAAATGACATGTATATGATGATCCTAATCACATATTATTCCATCTAATTTTGAAGATTCTAATCAAGATGATATGGAATATTCATTCATACCAATATTGTTCCCAATCGTTGAAGAGCCCTTCCCAAAGTTGAATCCACAAATTTAGGGCAGTTCCGTATGCTGATGTCACTTAGATGCGCCTGCATCTGCAACCCTTGACAAACACTCATCAAATTTGGCAAATTTATTAGCCGTATGATCCTCAAGCTGGAAAGCACAGTTGTCTCACTGGAGTTCGTATCACCTTCACTGCTATGTCCAAAAATCACCTCTAGTTGATTAGCCTCAGTTATTGACAAAGAGTCTAGTTGTGGAAGTATAATACCCGTGGATGCAGAGAAGAGTCTTTTGAGCTTGTTGCACCTCTCAACCTTCAACTCCCTAAGTTCTGGGAAGTGAACTTCAGCATTGGACATGATCTGATGTTCCTCATTTTCTGAAATTATTTCCTTCAGTTCTTCACAATCAGATAAGATTATGGAAGCCAATTTGGGAAGGCTGGTGTGGACAATAGTGCTCCTTGAGAACAAAAACTTCAACCTTTTATTGTGAGTTACTTCTAAGGAATGAAGATGTTGAAAGCTCAAAACTTGCGTGGGAACAAGACCTCCCACCATTTGTTCTTCTGATCTCAACATTTCTGAGTTATTGGTTTCTTCTTGCTCATCATCACCAATCACTCGCCACTTGTGTTCAACTCCAGGACTTCGAATATCAAGCTCTCCAGCATTCAAAACAGAAAGCGGAAGATTGAGAGCCTCATTATTATTTAATTGGTTGTATTTCAACACATACTTCCTTACGAGTCGCTGCATATAACATGGAAGTGAAAGGTGAGGGGATAAAATATTCTATGCTCCGTGAAAAGGTTATGAAAAGAAAGAGATTGCAATACATTCAACGTCTGTATCTATTTGTACAAGTTAAGATTTTCAGTTCTTAACTGGTAACTTAGATTTGTATGCAGGAATATATGATGTCTTAGTCACTTGCTTGTCTACATGCCAGAATCATGTTAAAACTGGAAATATATAATGCTCTGCATTGCCGAAATCCTTCTTCTCTTCAACTTCTATGATTTGAACTATCATTTATTGTGAGGTAACATGGTATAAGAAAAATTTATATCGTATTTGTATCGGTAGTACCAAAATAGTCACTAGTTGATAAACTAAACCGCAGTTCGTTTGGTTCGTTTCATGAAATGCATAATGATTCGTTTTTGAAGCAGCTTTTTGTATGTAGAAAGGAATGTATTAGACCTCAGTTCATGAGCTTAAATGAACAAAACAAAACATTAAAACAAAAAAAAAACGAAGTATTAAATATTCAGCCCGCATGAGTTTAATTAATATTGCAAAAAAAAAAACATAGAAAAATATTTGCAATATGGAGAAATTACAAATGCAGAATATTAGTTACCTCGTTAGTCCAATCAATAGTTGCACCCATCATTGGCATAAGTTTTGGGCATTCATGAACGTTAAGTGTGCAAAACTCCCCTGTCTGCAACTTGAATCCTTGGCAGACATTAACAAGTCTTGGCAAGTTCTCCAGTCTCATAGATTTCAGGTTTGGTAATGTAATCTCCTTTTCACTACTGTCATTTTGATGATCTTCAACCTTTGAGCATTTGAAAATTGCTTCCATTTGAGAAGAATCTGATACGGTTAGAGTGCTTAGTTGTGGAAGCATTGAGACAGTAGGACCAATCATGAAAGATAAAATGAATTTAAGCTTGTTGCACTCAAAGACTTCCAACCTCCTTAATTTCGGCAGACAGGATTCTGCATTAGCTAGATTTTTCTGAGTCTTTTCATTCTCCAAAAAGATTGCCTCCAACTCCTCACAGCAAGATATGGTTACAGAAGTTAACTCTGGAAGACTTTGACACATACGAGTAGAAAAGACAAATTTCAATCTTGCATGATTTCGCAAGACTAGTTTTTTAAGGGATTCAAATGTTGGAAATTGTTCTTCAGCGCCTGTCTTATAGAGGGAAATGGATTCTACTCCGCAGTTATGAAGTTGAATACTTTCTATAGTTGTCAATGACCTGTGTTCTCCATTCCTCAGTGGATGGCTCTCAAGTTCCTGCAAATCCTTTGTGAAAGAGGAAAAAAAGAATGGAAGAAAATGACATGTATTAACATAATTCCTTAAAAACAATAAATTGAGATTGATTAAAATTCTATATATATGTACATGTATCATTCTTACATAGACTCAGTCCATCAATTTTGTGGTAAATTAAACAAGATCAGCCATTTGCATATATAAGAAAACAAATATTACACACAGAAGTTAAGTTACGAATTTTTTTAGTTCAATTGGTTCAATATACATGATGGCAAATATATACATAGATATGTTTCACAATCAATGAAGTACAGGAAAAATTATAACGAGGGGCCCATAAGAGTCACTGATTATGGTGGGCCGTTGAAACGGTAAACAAATCGAATGTCTGAAATAACAAAATTAAAATTCTACATGTACCTGTATTTTATTTGTTTAATATGGAGCAAATCTAAAACCAAAGTTGTTACTAGTAATTGCATTTTATTTTCATATTGCAGAGTAATTCAAACCAAAAGCAGGGTGAGACTCAAATGCACAAAAAGAATGATGTATGATTTTAGATATTTTAATTTCATTTGTTATTTTAAATAATAGAAGAATGTGAATGAGTTAATTGACTGGATCATGTCTCAAGATGTATACACTTGAACACTATTTGATATTCAACGCTTACTAAAAAAATTTAAATCACATGAACAAAGACATCTTATTATATAAAAAGCTTTAATATTTTTTAACTTTTTTTTTTTTTTGCAAATCAAATCACAATATGTGAGGCAGCACGTACCAGATTTGGACAATTCTCCCCTTCTATTGTCTTTATAGATAGCCACCGTAGATGATACCTCTTTGAGCAAATTCCGACAAGGTTTGGAAGATTTGTTAGTGTGAGGTATTCCAAAAGAGAAAGAGCTATTTGAGTCTCATCTTGGTCACGTAGTGGTTGTTCTTCATCAGCATTTTCACCGAACACAAATTTCATCTGAGGAGCAGTTGTTATGGATAGACGCTGCAATTGTACAAACCTTTGAGCTAAAAAGACCGGGCATACAGATTCTAATTTGCGGCATTTATCAATAGACAAAATTTTCAATTTTGGGAATCTAGAATTCTCCCATGCATCACCATCACCCTCTCCCTCTAATACATGCTTCAGTTCACTGCAACTTTCTATTCGGAGCTCTTGTAAGGACAACAAAGTGCACATAGTAGAGATAGTGAAGAGAGATGTCAACCTCGGACAACTGAAAATATTGAGAAACTTAAGATTGCCTAAGTTGCAATCGGCAGGGAATATGTGGAGCAACTGAGGGCAATTGGATATAGTTAGTGTTTCTAGCTTTTGGAACAAGCTAACAGAAGAAGGACCACGATGTAGTTGTTGAAGATTATCCATGTCTGTTAGCACTAACTCACCCAATCTTGGGGCAATCGCATCTTCATGAGCATTACTTTTGTCAATAATGCATTCCATCTCTGAACACCTTCTAAGATAGAGTTTAGATAACTCATTCATGCCTCCGCTAGCTTGAACTACATTAGGCATGAAACTTCTGCTGCCTCCCTTAAGCTTATAACATTCAATTGCAGTTGCTATTTGTGCAAGATCCTTGATTCCTACACCTAGCATGGCGATATTTAACTGAACAAAGCGTAAATATCTTGCACTTTCATTTTGAGGTATCAAGCCTATGTTACGCCCCCCAATTTCTATCCTATACCTTCTCAGTTTCATCAAAGCAATGGGGGCCATAAGGCATTCATAGCATTTTGCATTTTTTGACTTTGGAAAATGTGTGGAAACATACAACTCTTCTAACTGGGAGCACCTTCCTATTACTTGGTAACAACATTCACCTATGTTACAATATGACAAATCTAACAACTTCAGCTTGTTTAAATTTTCAATTCCATTCGGCATTCTCTTAAACTTACTCCTTTGCAAGTCAACAATTTCAAGTCTTGTAAGGCTTACCAAAAAAGAGATGTCAAGTAAATTCCAGCCTTGCAATCGCAAAGTTCGAAGATTGGACAAGTGTTGGATTGATTGAGGTTGTAATAGTCGAACCTTGGGCCCAAAATAGGAGGACCTAATAATTAACACCTTCAGTCCTTTGGTGCCTTCAAATGATGCATGTGATATGTCCAAGGGTTGTCTTAAACGTAACAATAGAAACTCAAGCTTTGGAGCATCCAACTGAGAGGGAAATTGAAATAATTTATTGTCCTCATACCATGAAGATACAGCATAACAATTTTTCACCACTTCATCAGCAATCAATTCATTCGATTGTTTTCTGCAATTTACCTTAATGATATGATCCTCTTCAGATGCTTTCCATAATGCAAAATCACGAACCATATCATGCATTATCACATATTTTTGTGACTCTATGTTGAATTTTGAAGAATGCATCAACAACGAGGAGTTAATGAGATAATTTACAGTTGCTCTAACTTGGCTTCTTGCTATTTCAAATAAGTCTACATCTTCACATAGGCCTAAACCCACTCCATACCTGAAAAGGTCTTCAACACCAATATTATGATCTTCAGGAAACATAGCACACATTAACAACAACAACTTCGCTTCTGGGGTTGCCAAATAATCATAGCTTAATTTAAGACAAGCAAAAGCATCCCTCACTCCTTTATTCACATTAGTTGATTTTGCATTCCTCAACTGATATAACATTACATTCATCTCATCAACTCCTTTTTCTTTCAAGCAAGTTCCCACAGCTACAATTGCAATGGGTAGGCCCTTACATTCCATTGCAATTTGTCGTGCCATATCTTCTTTAGCAGCATCGTTGACATTAGCATGAGTTTGAAACAAAGTCCAAGCTTCATCTTCTTTTAACAAATCAAGTTGAATCCTCTTTTGGCATTTCATCAAAATACATACATCAAGACTGCGTGTGGTTAGGACAACTTTGAAACTTCTTTGATGATTTACCCCCACGGGAATCCCTATGTCCTCAAGATTCAGCATGGCCCATACATCATCCAGTATTATCAAAATTCGTTCTCCACTGTGTAATCGTAGTGCTATTCTTTTTGCTCTTCCCGTTTCAGATTCTTCCTTCAATTCGAGCCCCAACGCATCAGCAATTTCACCTTGAAGTTTTCTTATATTTACGCTTTGAGAAACTGCAGTGAACACAACTCGATTAAAGAGCTGTGACTCCTCGGCTTTCTTTTCCACTACTCTCATCAAGGAGGTTTTCCCTGACCCTCCCATGCCCCGTATCCCAATCATGGAGCTATCGTCATCTTGCAATGCCTCCCACAACTGATCAAAAGCTATTTGTGTAGAGTTGAAGAACTTGAAGCTTTGAGAAGAGAGGAATTCTATATTTGGAGCAATAACAGGATGGGAAACTTCATTGAAGCGACCACAGTTTGTATTTAGATCAATCATCCTCTGTGTTGTTTTAGCCAACCTTTTGCAGAGACAATATCTCCTCCAAGTGGGACACCACCCTCGAAGGCAGCCATTGTTGGCCCTTAGTTCTTCCTCCAGTTTCTCCACCTCTGCTATTAGGGTCTTCACGTCATTCTTCCACTTGTTAACCTCGTCATATATCCTTTCGGTCCTGTTGATGGCCCCTTGAACATCTTTTTGCACCCTCCCTTGCTTCAATATCAGTTCCTCCTTTCTGATCTCAACATTTCTGGTGATTTTTCCGTCACAGAACAAATATTGCAGCTGCTGTAAAGTTGGATCCACCAAATACTCAGCAAGTTTTGCAGCTACCGACACTCCCACCTCTGCCATTTAGTATTATAGCAACCTGAAGCAAGAGTTATTCATGATCATCGAATGATTAACTCAAGATTTCGTTTTGAAGAATTGAAGCTTCTTAATTACGTACTTCATCTTTCATGAAGGTAGCATCAAGATGTGAAAAGAATGACTAACACAAAGAATTGAAAGATATCATAGATAGATATTTATGTAAGGAAAAACAAATAGAACAATGATAGAAATAAAAAACAGAAAAAGGAAATATCTGAAATATTAAAGTGGGAAAAAATGACACACTGATTCAAGAGAGGGATATTGCTTCGTACTGTGATGAATTTTGCACTTTCAGTCTTGGCTTGAAGATTTTCAAGATTTAGAAGAACAGAATTGCACCGCGATGACCAAACTGATAAGTCGTCAACCAAGTTGGAGCTTGGAAGTGGGGACTGATAGTGCATAGGAAAGAACCCTCAAGTATGTATAACAAATAGAAAGCACTGACCAGAAAATGAAAGACTAAAGAGGCAAAGAAGAAGAGGTTTTGATGTTTATACCAGATAATTAAGCTTCCACAGTATAATTGAGTTGATGATTCTGGGCTTGCAAATCTCCAAGAGCGCTAGCGAGATGAACAGAATTCTTGAGCTTCAGCGGTCAGTTCTGTTGGATACGATAGTCCTCAAAGTATGAAATCGAAATTGAAAAACTTCAAGAAATCATGCGTTCCACTTAATGTCTCTACTACTTGGTTTCCAGCTGTCTTTAGACCAAATGTAAAATTTGAAGTAAAAAAGCAATCTTCTGATTTTCTTTTTGGAAACTTCAAAATTTTCATTTTGCATTAATAGAGGAAAATTAATTACATGTTATACTTCTCCTGTCCTTAATATAAGACTTAATTAACTAATTTGAGTAGATTAAGGATTTTAGTTAAATTAGTTAATATGACATTTTTTCCCCCTAAAATACTCTAAGCATCTTTCTCAATTCCATTCCTCCCTCTTCTACTATTATGTATCTCTCAGATTAACTGGAGGAGATGTCTTAAGCAAATTAATTTTAAGTAGATTGAATCAACCACGCTTGTTTTAGTCTGAACTCATTTAAATGTTACTTCAATTCTTGGAATTTATATAAATTTTCTTTGAAATAAAAATATATTAAAAATTTACAGATAAGTCCGAATTATAAAATTTAGTTCCCAATAAATCCTATATTCTACAAATTGTCACAACTCATAAGATGATTTGCCCGTTGAAAGTGTTTAAATACTTCATCAGGAGAGGGATATTGCTTCATACCTGTCATAGATGAAGTTACACTGTCAGTTTGGGCTTGGAGATTTTGGAGAGTGATCATAGAATTGCACTGACATGACCATATCTGGTAAAAATTTTTAGAACTAGTATCTTATGAAATTCCTACACAGTACAAGTGGTGGATGTACTGATTTTTTAACAAGTTCGTTCATTAGTTTGGTAAACAAAAAAAAAAGGTAAATAAAATAAAGTAAATCATTGTTTAGAAAGTGTATTGACTTGAATTAGTAGATGCAACTCTTTTTTAATGTTCAACGTATCTTTACTCGTAAGTAAATATCTTTTATTTTCTACATAGCTGGAAAAATGTTGCACTTGCCAAGAATAGGGATTTTTTCAAGTACATTTAATTAATAAATATTTTAATGAGGGATTTTAAGCCATTTTTCTACTTTATTTAATAAAGAAATGTAAAAGTGTTTGAAGAAAATTGAAAAAAAGTACTCTCAATAAAAGAAAAATGCATATAAAACATGTAAAACTCAATGATTAGAGATAATATAATAATATTTTAATAAAAATAGAACATGTGTGCTAGAAAAATCTTGAAATATTAACTTTTTAATGTAAAGATATTTTTCTTCCAAACTCAGGTGCGTACCGTTTCAAAAACAAAATTTTATTCCGTGAAGAGCAATCTTTTTACTGCTTCATCTCCAAATACGTAACAGCAAGCTGATGAAAGGCAACTTTGCAGATGCAGAATCTGAAAAATAAGAAAGATCAATTGGTGTGACTTTATTGCCATGAGATGTAAGCTTTTTGCAGCTCTTTTTAGACACCAAAGGAGCTATGAACTGTTTTGAGTGGTATTTCCTATCAGATCTCTGTGCCATGCAAGTTGAAAGAAGAACAAGTAACAAATGTAATATCTGCAAGTGACAGCTCCAGAAAATGCAAGACTAACGAGGGTTTGATTTTCATACCTGACTGAATTCAGTTTAAGATTCTTGGCTTGCAAATTTTCAAAAACCGGAGGAACAGAATTCCACTGCAATCACCAGACTCTTCACGATCTTGGTGAGTCGTCAACTTGGTTGGAAATCATAGTGCTCTTTCTTTCTCTCTCTAAAATAGAAAACGATGATCGGAAAATGAAAAACTTAAGAGGCCAAGAAAAACTTGGAGCAAGGAAGTGATAAGGTTCTTTCTTTATCCTTTCCAATGGACCCCAAAGATATGAAATCAAAGTTGAAAAAGTTGACGGAATCAGTGCGTTCCAGCTAACTGTTAGTACAATTCTCTGAAATTTCAGAATTCATATTTTGCATTTATTTGTATGAAAAATTAATTACTTTTTTATATCATTTTCAAAAGTCACCTGGATGAAGGAGTGCGCAGTCTGAGAGAGAGGAGACCCCTAATGCAAATTTCCTTCCTACATGCAACACATAGTATTTCTATATAAGACATCATTATAATTTCCGAGGAATAAATTTTATTTTTCATTAATTAACTCATTTTGTGCTGTTTCTATCTTACTTTTTTTTTTGGTCTGCATATATTTTAGTGTCATACAATATTATTGTAGTTTGTGGAATGCTTTTGAATTGGTTTTAATGTATTTAAATATGAATGTTTTGCATTTTAATTGAGGTCCATATATTCCCTCACATCATTTTGCAATTAAATTTAAATTTGAGAAAATTCATAAATATCTTGGTAAAAATAATGATCTAGGTTGACTTTAAAGTTTAAACTACAAATTTATTTGGACCTGATTTAGTTGTGGTAAGTATTATCAGTTTATCATCTTACTTTTTTCTTTGGATACAATTACCTTACTTCTGTACTGTAAAAACCTATTTTAAAACAATTGAAAACTTCCCTTTTTATAGAATTTCGCAAACCAGGTAACTGGTTTTTGTACACATGGCAGCGATAGTTATGGTAAGACATACACTCTCCAAACATAATTTTAACGACTCAGATTTAATTTAAATAAAAAATTATTTTTGAAAAAACTAACCATTAAAATATTTTTATTTTAGATTATATATAGAAATAATTTTTTAAAAACTTTAAAATAAAAAAATTAAATCCTTTAGGTCCTCCTTTTCACTTTTTCACTTGTCCAACTCATTTTCAATGGGTCCAGAAATTTTGGGGATCACAATTTTAATTATAAATGTTTTCAGTCATTTCTTTATTGGTTCATCAACTCTTCCTTCTTCTCTTCAGATAATCAATTTACTTAGCTTAACAACTGCGGAGACAATGCTAATGAGATTATCAGGACATCATCTTTCTTTATCAATTGTTCTCTCATTTTAAAGCAGTAATAGTTCATGCTTGGCGCTCCGTGTAATTTAAATTTTCTCTTCTTTTTTTTCATTTGACTTCGGTTCTGTACTTATAAAGATACTATCTTTTCTTTTTAATATTATTTGATTATTTGATTTGATTCTTTTCCCAAGAAAAATATTTTAAAAAAAAAAACTCTAGTCAATCCTCGTGAGACGACCGGAGTTTTTTATCTTATCTTCTCTGGGACCGAAAGCATGTGGCCATTGTTATGGTTATATAAGATGTGCAATTCTCTTCTCATTGGACAGAGACCACGCTATATTATTAAAAAAAATAATTGTATTTTTCTATATATTTTATTTACGAGCATAAATAAATAAAAATAAAAATAAAAATAAATTTAGATAAGATATATACTCGTTTACTATACATGGGTATTTCTTGAAGGGACCGCATAGGTGATTACTTTTAGAATTAGTATGAGTAATTTCTAATTATTCTTAAAATCATTTTTTATCATAACGAATTTTAAAAACACCTTTGTAAATTTAAAATAACATTCATAATCAATTTTGAAAACCAAAGTTGTGACTTCCTAGAAAAACACCAGTTGTTATAAGTCATAATTCAATAAAATCGATTTTATAAATTAATTTTATCAGCAATCTATTATTCTCGCCGTTAACCCTTGCCTGTACTAAATCAAAGAAAAATGCACCTAAAATCATTAAATCCAAATTGAAAAAGTAAAAAAAAAAAAAAAGGTTCCAACTAAGTATTGTTGGTTTTCCTTTGTCTTTTATAACCCCAAAATACACAATACGTAATTCATTAGGAAATTGGGAGAGAGTCTTTTGGAAGTTGTGGACCACATATTTAGTTGAAGACTTGAAGTTGACTTTCCTAACATTCCAACTATTACCATTTAGTCCTTTTGTTTTTGGGTACGCACCCACTATCTCCCGCTGGCCTCGTCATAAAGAATCTATAGTTCCATTCTAATATGCATGTTGGTATGTGAAAACCCTTATGGTTGCTACCTCTACCATCAAGGTTCAATGTTGCTGCATTCCCAAATCTTGAACTCAAGATTTTTGATTAAACTGAAACAATCTCCTAACCAGTTAATCCAAACGCTCAAAGATTTACCATCCGGTCATTGGTATGTCTTTTATGTCTTTGATTTTTTGTTAGTTAATTAATGACCTATGATTTGGCTGTTGAAATTGAACTTGTTAATGAACTTGTGTTACCTCAAAGTGTTAATATATTTCAGTCCGTTGATCCTCTGAATATTCCTGCTGGTTTATCTATAATCCGTTCACATGATGTCGGCGCATGTATTAAGGGAGAGCAACTTTGACACTAATTTATTGCATTGAGGCTTTTGTCATGATCAAAAAGGGGCAAAAATATTTGATTCTCATGTTTTCATGACTGTAAAACTCGGAGAAGATTGTTTTG